TCCTCTCAGTAAGGAATCCCAGGCAGGGAACCACGCACTGCTGCTCAGTGAGGACTCAGGCTGGGGACCGCCCAGGGCTCCCTCCTCCTGTCTAGGCTCTTTACTGGGAAACTGGGCCTGTGAATTTGTGTCCAGCAAAATGACCAGCCATGACTGTTGAATCTTGAGACGAGGAATCCGTCATCACTTTGCCAATAGTTCTACTGTGGCACGGTAGCCCTGTCCTCCTGCTGTTCATCGATTTGCTCGAGCAGGCCCAGTAACATCTCCATTGTGAGACTTTGTTGTTACCGTGTCTGACATATCGAATATGTCATAGGGAGCTCGCCAGGCTCTGCTGTGCGGGCGGGATACTCTCGGTAGCTTGCCGGGCTCTCCGAGAGGGGTGGAGGAATTGAACCCGGGTTGGCCTGGCCAGCTGCATGCAAGGCAAACACCCTACCGCTGTGCTATCGCTCCAACCCCATTCAAAGCCAAAATGAAAAATAAATAAATAAATAAACTGCACCCAACAATGCTTGGAGAACCAGGTGATGCTGTTTTTCCTTTTTTTTTTTTTTCCTTTTTGGGTCACACCCGGTGATGCTCAGGGGTTCCTCCTGGCTCTGCACTCAGGAATTACTCCTGGTGGTGCTCAGGGGACCCTATGGGATGCTGGGAATTGAACCTGGGTTGGCCGTGCGCAAGGCAAATGCTCTTCCCGCTGTGCTATCGCTCCAGCCCCAAACCAGGTGATGCTGGGGACCAAACTTGGGGCCCCGCAGTAGAGTGGCATTTGCTTCAGTCCTTTGATCACAGTTCTACTGTAAACAAGATATTTTTCTAAAATGCTGCCACAAAATCAATTTTTCCTTTTTCAGTTCTTTTCCAGCAATTAGCAACTGAACTGTCCTAACCATTCAAGAATTCTTGGTGATGTTCTAACTTAAATGAGGACTTAAAAAGTACAGTGTAGGGCTGGCTGGAGAGACAGAACAGCGAGCAGACTGGCTCACCTTGTGTGTGGCCAACCTGGGTTTGATCCTGCTAAGGCCCGGCAGCACAGCCCTCGAGTGAGCGGCTCTGACGGTACAAAGGGGAGATGGGAGAAGGGCCGTGAGCAGGGCGCGCGCTGTTCCCATGGGGACCCCCGGCAGCACAAGTAGCTGAAGAGGGGCCCCCCACCCTCCCGGGAGAGGCCTCAGACAGCCACATGCATGACGAGGACACCTTTTCGGCCCACAGGTGAGCGGGAAAGGTGGGGGTGGGATGGGCAGACCACACAGACGTTCGGACCAGGCCCACCTGGTGCAGTGTGGAATGAGGTGAGAGTCGGGGATCTAACATTAGGAACAGTTTTCTTAAAAATAAAAGAGAAAGGCTTTAAAATGCCTCGATTTTTGGTTGGCATAGAACCTATTTTGTTGTTGTTGTTATTATTATTATTACTGGCAGGCTTGGAGGACCACATGGGGTGCCCGGGATCGAACCTACATGCAAGGCAAGTGCCCTACCTGCTGGACGACTGCTCCGGCCCAGATGTTTTTAAGCTTTGGTTCACACCTGGTGATGCTCTGGGGTTACTCCTGGCTCTGCACTCAGGAATCACCTCTGGCAGTGCTTGGGGGAACCATTCGGGATGCCAGGGATCAAACCCGGGCTGGCTGCATGCAAGGCAAATGTCCTGTCTGCTGTACTACCTCTCCAGTCTCTAGTCTTGGGGCCACACCCGGCTGGTGCTCAGGGCTTGTGTCCTGCTCTGTGCGCAGCAGGCTTGGGGACGGTTTGGGGTGTTGGGGATTGAACCGGGTTCGGCTGCGTGCACAGCAAGTACCACACCTGCTATACGCCCTACCCCTGGCCCCTTAAGAAGTACTTCAGAAGGTAATGAAAACTAAACGTGCCCTATTTGCTTAAAATCTTCCCAGTCACAGGGCTCTGAGGTGTGGCATCAGAATGTGGATGTTTTGTCCAGGGGTGGGTGGGAGGGGGGGTCGGTTGGGGGCAGCTCCAGAGGCAACCCGGGAGCTGGCCCAGAGGGAGGGAGGGAGGGAGCCGTATCCACAGCATGTGCGTCCCTGTGGGCACACAGTTTTAAGAGTTGCTGCTCACCACCGGGCTTTCACTCTTGATTCTCTGGTGCACTCTCTCCCAGGGCTGGAGTACAAACTCAGTGCTGAGGAATTCCTGGGGTGGGGTTCCCGGCAACCCAGGAATGCTCTCAACAATGCAGGATGTGACCCCCCCCATCTTCTTCACACCCACCCCGTTCTTAGAAACGGCTAGCCTGTTTCTGTGAAGACAGGATGGGTTATTAACGGTTCCTTAGAGAGAGGCACCAGGCGCTCTGAGTCCGCTCCCTTCCTAGGCTCGGGGAGGGAGGGGGGGAATCCTATGGGTGGGTTCCCTGCTGCTGACATCTCCGGCCACAGTTTTTAAGGGAAAGATGGACAAATGAGCAGTCTCAGGGGTGTGTCTTCCCAAGAAGGATGGAGGCGCCCTCAGCCTGTGCAGGAAGGGGAGGGGAGCCCTCCGCCTCATTATTATAAACGCCCGTTTATATATTATAAACGCCCGTTTATTTCAAGGCAACGCGGGGCCTTGGCATCTGACTTGCCGACTTCCCCCTCGGCGCCCCCGAGTGGCAGACAGACATCCTCTTTGGGCTCATCGCGCGCCCACTTCCGGTCTGAATATCCTCATAGGGGCGTTCGCTGCAGCCACCAGGGTGGATGGGAAGGGGCGACAAGCACGCGGCGGGGGGGTGATGAGTGAGCCCAGCCCCTGTGTCCCGTCTCCCACCAGGCACTTGTTCTTGGCCCCCAGGACACTTAGGACTGGAGGACACACGGCAGAGAGGAGGAAGGGAGGGAGCCCGCCCGCTCGCTCGCTCTCCTTATTTCCCCGGCAGCGGAGGGGCCACCTGCGAGGTCCCAAAGGGCCGCTGATGGAATGGACACCTTCGCTGTCTCTCGCAAGGTCACACTCCTGGGGCTCCGGGCAGCCTTCGAGCACCAGCTCCAATGTCACTTTCTGTCGGGGAGGGGGACTGTCACCACGCGCGGTCGTCGGTGACGGCATTTATGAACATGCAGATGTGGCTGATTAGAGATTAATGCCTTTCAGGCTTGGCGCCGGCATTCCGTTTGTCTCGTGCCGAGACCAATCCTGCTCTTCATTAGTCAATGACAAGCCGCATCACCCCGACGTGGCGGAGACGGGCAAGGGTCAAGGGTGTGGACCGAGAGTAAGCGATGGGGCTGATTAGCGAGCGATAGGGTGGCTATAATCAATCAACACATCATCATAACCCCTGGCCGCGGGGCGGTTGGGGGCCGAGGAAATAAACACATCACTCCGGGGAAAACGGTTTGGCTCCTTTACTCAGGAGAGCACACAGAGGTGCGAGTCCACCTTAGGGAGGCCCGGCATGATGGCCACGGCATGCACTCCTTATTCCACATCTTTTCCCAAAGCAGAGTCAAAGGGTTCCTGGGCCTGACACGTGAGACCAGGTCTAGCTGGCGAAGCTGTGGGCCCCTCTGTCCCATCTCCTCCCCGGGAAGCTGGCCAGCTGCGCCCAGGGGAGTCACGACCTCAGGGCCTGGCCACCACCCAGTGGGGTCGCATCACGAGAGTCAGCAGGCCCGCTGTGTGTGTGGACACGTGTCGTGTGGACAAGGGCCCCAAGAGGGTCACCAATGCGGACACTGGGGCACAGAGAGCTGGGCCCAGGCCACATAGCTGGTCAGCAGGGACAACGCCTTTAGCTCCCGAGTGACACATCTGTCCAGACAGACACTCAACCCATCCCCTGAGCTGTGACCTGCTCCCCGGCCATAAGGGCTCTGCTGGCCACGGGAGCCAGATCAGGCCTTGCAGACAGCCACTGGCACAGGGTCACGCCTCTCAACCCCTCCCACCTCTGCCCCGGGCACCAAGCGCTGGCAGGAGAGCAGAGCGGGATGCCTAGGGGCAAGGGGAAAGGAAAACGCAGCCAGTCCTTGCACTGAGGCTGTGTGTGAACGCTCTCGGGCAGGCGGAGGGCTGGCGCTCCCAAACGCACAGGGCCTGCACCGACCAGGGCACGACGGCCTCCACTGGAGAGGACGTCACCCTGAACCGAATCATCAACATACACTCTTGGTATGAAGTTAGAGTAAAAGTCTCTGACCCTCCACCGATAAGAAGTGACTTTAGTAAAATACTAAAAACAAAAACAAAAACCAACAACCAAACCCTCTAGGGCATCAAGTCAGAGGAGGTTAGAGGGCTAGGAAGGAAACATAAATACAAAATACAGGCATGGATCCACATCCTAACGCGGGTGGTGGGCGTACGTGGATTCCTCGCCCTGTTACGCGTCCCAGCCACCACGCTGCATGTGTCCATGTACATGGCTATAAACACTCCACAACAAACTCTCAACGTAAGTGGAGGAAACGGCTGGCCATGCTTTCCAGCGAATCAACGGTCAGAAAACCGGGGAGCAATTCAGAGTTGGTTCTGAGAGCCAAAGGTGCTCCCCGGGAGCGGCCCGCGTGAACTCAGCACGAGTCCCATGGAGGGGAGAGCCGCGTCCCGTCTGCCGACCATGGAGGGGCTTCCTGGTGGGCCTGCAGGGATGAAGACTGAGGGACAAAAGCCAGCGGACTGGTCAGTCTTCTCCCGCTCCTTGGGAAGAAGGCAGGGGACCCACTGCGGGACAGGAGCGAGTCAGCTGGCCACATGATCCCCCAGGGGGCACAAGAGTGTTAAACCCAGAAGGTGCAGGTCCCAGGAGTGGGGCCGCGGGGCTGCCAACAGGGCTCAGGTGGGCAGAGGCCCTGGACTATGTCAGGAAGCGGCACGGCAGTCCGAGCTACAGGTTTGGGGCGGGCGTCCAGCCTGGGGCGCGTTTCAGGGACTCGTTACGCGGTGCCCGCTAAAAGGCTGCATGGGGGGTGGGGGGGCCAAGGCAGACACGCAGGCGGGTGCATGGGAGGCGGGCTGGGGTCAGCGTGACCGCGAGGAGGGCGTACCTGGAATACTGGCAGGAGAGATGGGGCCGGAGCGCGACTGGGTGCTTCCCACGGGCGAGCCGACGGGGGACGGCGACGGGCCCCCGGGGATGCCCGACAGGTGGGGGGACGCGTGAGGCGAGAACGGCGACTGGGCCGGGTTGCTCTGGTCCCCTTGGCTGCTCGTGGACCCGGAGGCACTCACGGCTGAGCTCAGCGTGGCTTCCGTCCCCGTGGGCAGGTCGTCGATGGAGCCAGACAGGTCCTGGGAGAGACAGAAACGGCAGGTGTTTATAGAGCAACCAAAGCACCACGGGCCCCGCCCAGGGCCTGCGGAAGGCGCCCCCAACTTGGAACTTGCGGCCTGGCCACCGTGGGCCTCCACGCGGCCCCCTGAGACCCTCTTCCCGGGAGCAGCCACGGGAAACGCATGGCGCGTCAGGGGCCAGCCCTCTCCCCGGCCAACCCAGAGGGCTGCAGGTGCTAGACCCCTCTCAGGCGGAGTTACAAGGGAGGGCAGTGCAGGGGCAAACCAGGATATTCCAGGGGAAGAACAGTCAAAACTCCAGCTGAACCCCGTGGTCAGAAATTCCTGCATTTTAAGCAACAGCTCGAGCGTCCTGGCCGCGAGAGGGTCACACTCCCACCGGACACTCCTCTCCCTGCAGCAAGCGCCCGGGCCCCCGGCAGCACGTCCAGCCCAGCAAGTGACTCTGACTGTGGTCAAACTGGATGCCCGCGGAACAGATGGATGCAGACGTGGCGGTCACACAGAGGTCCAGGGTCCAGGTCTCGAACCAGGACAGGGAGAGAGGGCGGTGAGAGGCAGGGGAGGAGGAGAAGGGGCCCTCTCCCTGCAGTGGACCCGGGGCCCGGAAGGGGGCGCCCTTCTGGGAAACAGATGCAGGCCTGCAGAGCACGCCAGGAACACCCAGGTACACGGCCGGGGGCGATCCGTTCCATGTGTGTCCAATGGTGCCTCGGAGGCTGAGGCTGGGACTGAGCTCCACAGCGGGGGCTGCAGGATGTGGTGAGGGAACAGACCTGGGTCTGCAGCCTGGCCCAGGGAGGGAAGCGAGGAGCAGGGAGGCCCCCGGGGGACCCCCAGCCACGCTGCAGACTGAGGGCTGGGCTCCCACCCTGCAGAGCTGGCCTGTTTACAGCAGGTGAGCAAAGGCTTCCACTGCCACTGCATCCTTTTGAAAAACAAAACAGAACAAAACAACCCATTATACAGGACAGTGGAGGGAATCTCCCCAGCGAAATGAGTGCTTCCTGAAAACACAGGAAGCTGGAAGTATTGCCCCCCCCCCCCCCCCCACGCTCAGGAAGTAGGGTCCTCAGAGCTCCCATACGAATGCAAAGATGCTCAAACTTCAGAAAGTAAAAAAACGGGACCTCCTCCACGACCCAGAAAAGACACATCAACTGGCAGCAGTTTGAGGGGACTGTGCAGCCCAGGGTGGAGAGGAGGGAAAGGCAGGGACGGGCCAGGTAAGGGCTGGGCTGACCACAGGAGGCCCTTGTAAGTTCCTTGCCCCTTCCTTATCTCCTCAGGTCCAAGGGACAGGCCAGCAGAGGCCACCAGCTGTGGCCTGCGGGTCCAAAAGAGACCCTGCCCACTTCCGCTCTGCCCGCCAGGAAGACCTCTGTAAAGGACGGCGGTGGTGGGTGCAGGGCAAGTTGTCTTTTGGGCTTCGCACAGCAATGTGCCCGGGCCTTAGGGTGGGGCCAGGCCAACCATCTCTTCGTGTACCACCTCTGGCTGCTTTGAGAGGGGCCGCCCCCTGCGAACCAAGCCTAACACCCTGATGACAGGCCCGAGAACGGCGCCCACTGGGGGGAGGGTGGCCTGGGACAGTCCTGTCGAGGGCAGCGAGGACTGGCCCACACATGAAACCGGAGGGGCATACTCACGCGGCAGGCATCAGAATAACCAGGACTACCCTCCCGCCCATGGGTGTGAGCACTGGGCCCAGGCGTACCCTTGAACCCCCAACAAATGGGCGTCGCTCATGGATAAACAGAGGGTCAGTCAGAGAAAAACTGCCAGGAGCAAAAAAAAAAATACCCTTCCTGGGACCAAAAAGATAAGAGGGTGAGAGGCAAACCTGTTTTCTCTTCAGTGATACCACACACACAGAAAAAAGCCCCAGGGAAGACAACGGAGGTGCAGCTTAGGAAATCAGGACGGAAGTTAAATAATTTTATGCTCGACATCATTAATTATCAGGGAGATGCAAATCAAAACAACAACGAGATCTCAGCGCACGCCACAGAGACTGGCACACAGCAAAAACAACCACCGGTGCTGGTGTGCATGCGGGGAGGAAGGGACTCTCGTTCCCAAATGCCGACGGGCCCAGGCTTTCTGGAAAACACTATCGGCATTCCTCAGAATACCAGAGGCCGAGCTTCCATATGACCCAGCAGTACCGCTCCTGGGAATATACCCTGGTGGCCCCCCCACAAGCACGCAGTAGAAACACTCTCCGCATGCCTATGTTCACAGCAGCACTATCCACAACAGCTAGAATCTGGAAAACAGCCCGAGTGCCCAGATCAGACGACTGGATGAAAAAAAAAAAAAAAGGAAAAAATTAGGCCCATCTACACGATGGAATATTACGCAGCTCTTAGGAAAAACGAAGTCATGAAATTGGCTTCTGCGGAGATGGACGTGGAGAGTATCCTGCTGAATGACATGAGTCAGAGCGAGAGGGAGACGAGAATGATCGTGGCTCGTTTGCAGTGCAGGAGTGGGAGGGAACTGGGGGACACTGGTGGTGGGGAAAATGTGCCCTGGTGGCAGGATGGGTACTGAGGCGCGGTATGACTGAAACTCAACCACGAACAACTTTCTGAAGTGTATCTCATGGTGATAGTTTTTTTTAATTTTTATTAGTGAGACACCATGAGGTACAGTTGTAGACTTATAAATTTTTGTGCTTGGGTTTCAGTTATACAATGATCAAATACCCATCCCTCCACCAGTGCCCATTTCCCACCACCACGGGTCCCAGCATCCCTCCCACCCCCCATCCCCCCCCATCCCACCCTGCCTCTGTGGCAGGGCATTCCCTTTTGTTCTCTCTCTCCTATTGGGTGTTGTGGTTTGCAAAAAATGACATTGAATGGCAATCATGTTCTGTCTATAGTCTACTTTCAGCATGCTTCTCCCATCCTGGGAGGATCCTCCCAACACCCTTTATTTGGTGCTCCCTTCTCTATCTGAGCTGCCTTTTCCCCTAGCATATGTGGCTGGCCTCCAACCCATGGAGCAAAATTCCTGGTACTAATCTCGGCGATAGTTTGTGTGGCAGTTTTCATGGAAGGTCAAGGTTGGAAAACTTCAAAATCCCTCTGGGATCACCAATCAGCTCCTTCCCTCTTCTCCCTTCCGACACCTCGTTCCGGCAAAGCCCACGACAGGGCAAGGAGGGTTCCTGCCGTTCCACAAGCTGCTCAGGACACAACCACGAGAACCCTACGGAACCAGCGGCTGCTTCTCGCTGCCGAGTCATCAGAACTTCACAGCCGAAGCGACGGCGAGGGAACAGGGGAGCGAGGAAAGAAGGGTCTAATTTCCCTATCACCGGGAGACACACACGAAACTTTTCCGTGCAAATGAAAGGGGAACAGTTTGCTCCGGAGACGCTCAGGGTTCCCACAAGTACAGCCTGTGAAAAACAGGTTCATAAAGGAGGAGGCTTCAGCCGGTGGCTCACACACCCGGGCTCTTTAACAAAGAAACTCTGGAACTAATACTCCTCCGGAGGACAATTCAGGCAGCGGGGTACCATGGCGATGCTTCTCTCGTAGTGCTTGCAGACCGATGAGGCCTGCGAGAAGCAGAGACCCGGGCGCAGCCCCTTTCGTCGGAGGCACCTTCACGCTACATGGCTGCCACTTATCAGAGAGCCAACAGGTCACTGCAGAGAGGCTCCCCCCAACTTTCCCGACCTGCTTCCTGCCTCCTCCTTCCAGAAGGTGGAAGGTGGCGGCTTCACACACGTCTGGGCAGCACGGAGTCCACCCTGCATCCTAGGGTCAGGAGTCCGGCCCGGATGCACGGAGCCCACCATCCTGGGCCTGAGTCTAGCCTGGACAGCACGGTGTCCATACTGCATTCCAGCAGTGCTCCCCCGGCCCCATCCTTGGCCAATGGATACCCCGGGGGTCCAGAGTCAGCTGCACAGACGTAGCGCGCTTGGGAAGTCAGTCCCCTCTAGTGCCCTGGTCGTGGTTTAGAACCGTCACCTGACATGGGAGACAAACACCGCGAGAGTGACGGGGTCGGAGCCAGTCACTGGACTGACACGGGTCCACAGACGAAGCGCCATGAAGGACGGGCTAGTTTCCTTGTCTGTAGGAACCTGTGTGGAGCGGAGTATTTCGAGCCACCCACCCAAGGCCCTGTTCTTTCATCTGTCTAGACAGCAAATGAGCTGAAAGCAGAGACTTCCTGTCTAAGTGAATTAAGTGATGCCCAGGCTGAGGGAGATGGGATGGACGGAGGGAATTCTTCCAAGCACTAACTTTTAGGATCAAAAAGTTATCTTTGTTCCAAGTTATGTGTTTCTTACTTTCGATTCAGACATGTCCAAATCACAAATCTTTACCTCTCCATAACATGTGACGCTATATATGACACCTGGCCATGAGATGTGTGAGGTCAATTGGGGAAAAAAAAATGCTTTGAGGTTAGTGTGAAATTGCTTCCTTCGTGAATGACAAAACTCTGCCCAAAGCCAGGGGGACACAAGGAAATTATTGAGTCAAAGTCCATTTCCAAAGGTTGCCAAGAACCACTTTCGGGGGGAAATAAACTTGCATCTGATTCCCTGAACTCTCTCTCCCTCCAGCAGACACTGGGAAGAAGCATTCGAAGGAGGAGTTTCAACTAATTTCACTGTACAAAATAGGCCAGACCCACAGAAAAAGCCATGTGAGCATCTGACTGCGAGCCCTTCTAAAGGAAATACTCTAATATACTTTTTCGATTGTTTATTTGTTTATTTATTTATTTGGGGTGGGGGGCGGGGGGCTAGGTCACTCCCGCAGTGCTTAGGGCTGCCACCAGGTTCTGCACTCAGGGGTCGCTCCTGGTCGTGCTCCAGGAACCAATGTTGTGCCTGGGATGGAACCCGGGTCAGCCGCATGCAAGGCACCTTCCCTGCTGCACCGTCTCTAGCCCCTAAAGATCGGACTTGCGGACACAAACGGAGGGCTGCTGCATTGAAGCTGTAGGGTAAGGAGAAGAGG